ATTAAGCATCTTATAATTAACTTATCACTTGAAATAAGGTTGAAAAAGCTACCACCATCTTTGCTGTTTATTCTCCTACAGAAGTCCATTCAGGATTCTTTCAGTAATAAGTGGATATAAGTGAGTGGATATCACATCCGGATATAACATCTGTTTGGTTCTTTACTCCCTGTTTTTAAACTGAAACCTAAGTCTTGTCTATAGATGTTAAAACAGTTAACAAGAACACCAAGATAACGAGTTACAAGCTAACTTAGTATTAACAGGGCGTCACCTTAGACACAGCTCGTAATACACTGGTGGAAACCTGGAAAATTACAGGTGGTAACGATGGAGAGGTCACAAGCAGGCAGAGTTTATTTCTGTGGTCTACTGAGTTAAATAATCCCCAATAATCTGCTTACTAATGAGCTCAAATCAGCAGCACACACAATCTGAGTGATTTTCCACTTTATAGAAATGTCTGCAGCTTCTTTCCTCCTGCTGCAGTTCAAAGTCAGTCCAGAGACACATTCGTTTTTTAACCGTAGTAAATTATTCATATTTATTAGTAATATTTAATACCAACCATATCAAACACACGTGTGATCGAACATTTTTTGTGCAGTCATGGTTTATTTGAGGCGCTCTTTAGAAAGAGCATGTAAGCTTGATAATGAGCTGCAGTTTAACATGGTGGAGTCTATTTGCAGGAAAAGAGACTCACCGGGGAGGCAGCTGTTGCTATATATTTATGGTTATGTGCAGATGAGAACCTTATGAAATGTACCATCAAGACGCCAAGTTTAGAGGCCCTCAAAAACAGAATTTAAATCTGTGGTTCATATAAAAAGCTGACTTACTGCACAGCTGCTCGATGGTGGCCCACTGCTCAGACTTCTTCCAGGTCTGTGCCAGATCCTCATTAGAAGTCTTCACTGCTTCAAGTAGCAGCCCGATGCTGTCCTGCAGATACAAACACAAGCTTTCATCTATCTGCTGAAAATTATTCAAGATGCTGAGGAGTTAAAAGCAAAAACAGTACACCGGAGAGTTTATGTTTGGCAAGTCTGTGCTTTATGTAGGACATCCAAATCTGATCAAGCGGTTCGTTACAGAAAAACAATGTTTGCGACCGTCGTGATGGGCCGGTTTGAAAATGAGCAGAAAGGTCTGAGTGAAAACATCCTTGGAGGAGTAACTACTTCCAGACTGGAGAAGAATGTGGTCCAACCCATCGTCTGCATTACAAATGGGAAACAAATGAAAAGCTGAACGCGTCAAGGCTTTGAACTTACTCTCAGAGGCATGACTTCATTGGTGACGAGGAAGAGGAGAAGATGAAAGTCTGACACGATGTTCAGGAATGATGTGGAGGTGCACTGGGACAGGTATGTGGCTAAACTGTGAAAATCCTGCAAACAAACAAGAAAAACA